GTAAATATTTTATTTATAGAACTAGTAAACTTCAATATGCTCTGGTTTTGATAAATTATTAAAAAATTCTAAGTATTTTTTATTCTTATAACAAGAGAAATATCCTTTTTAAAGAAAAATATAAATTTAAAATCTTTTTTCAAAATGAATATGAGATATAATAATTTGAAGAATATAGAACTAAAGAATATATTTTGTGACTATATTTTATTTATAGATTGTATATATTATTTATTATATATTTATATGTTTTATTTTAAGAAAAATGATCAAAAGAAATTTATCACTGATTTAACAAAAATAAAAGACAAGTGAGTAAATTGATATTATATTTATTCTTTAAATTAAATGTGCAGTTTATTTAAGCTTTTAATTATATATGAGTCGGATTTCATATATTTGATATTTACATTATTAAAAATTGACTGAATTGTTTTTTGTTTCAGTGATATATTACATTTGAGCATTACTATAAATAATATAGCTCTGGTATAGATACTTTAAATTTCGCAAGAAATATTTTTCGTTAGAGCATGAATAGTTTTATCAAAATATATGCTATTTTTCAAAAAGAATTTTTGCATTATACATGTACTAATATGAATGATTAGTATAGCAAAATGCTCTTTAGAAAGTTTAATTTAAAGATTATTATGTATTAAATCATTTATTTTACTAATTAATACTTTCTAATTACATTTTTTATTTATAAATTTGAAGGATTGCCTAATATATAATATTAAATTTAATTGAATTTAAACCGATTGCGTATCTAAATGTTTTATATAGTTAATAGAACGAAAAATTTCTTATCTGTTTTTAAAGAAACTAATACTTATGTATGATTAAAAATTTATTTTTTTTTTTTAGAAATACGAATTGGCGAGTGAAAGGAGACATGAAAATTAAATTTATTATTTCTTGCAGTTGGCTGTTGGATAATCTGATTATTTGATTTGCTCATGATTTTCTCAGGTAAGTGATGTGATTGCACGAATCGATTAATATTATTCGAATGTTGAACCATTTCCGGATTGTTAGAATTCGATTCTTGTACCATTTCAGCTAAATTTTGCGTTGATTGAATGGAATCTTGAATTTGGCCATCCTTCAATTCTTTTTGTTTCCTTTTATTATGTATAATAAAAAATTATTAGTGTGAGGCATATTATTCCTCCTATTATGCCTCCAGCTATTGACCCAGGATTATTTTTCTTTCCGCCAGATTTTGGTTTGGTAGTTATTGGTGTGATAGTTGGTGTGGTAGCTATTGGTGTGCTAGTTATTGATTGAACCCATGTCATAGAAGCCTCATTACTGACATCAAGAATAGCTACTGGTGCTGGCTGAGTAGTCATAGTATTATCAAATTTGCCTACATAATATTAATAAAAATTTAACATTACTTTTTTGAATCAAAACACCATTTCTTCAATATCTCACCATAAACAACAATCATATAATTATTGTAGATTGTTGCTGTATGCCAATAAGGTATCTGTTGTTGATTTTGATACGGCGACGATGAAATAGTTGGTAATTTCCAAGTGAAGGTTTCACCATTTTGAGCGCCCAAATTTTGAATGCTCAATAATGCAACAGCATTACTATTGTTCATTGGATTTGGAGAGTATCCGCCATATATCAAAATACTATTGTCGTTTACTTTAATCAATACGCATGATCAAAAAATAATTAGAAAAATTTTAAAATAAATCAGTTTTAAATTAAAATGACCTAACATTTTACAGCAGTATGACCACCACGGTTTGGCACCAGACCGGCGGCGTTTGCAGCCTAAATGAAAATTGAAAAACAGAGTTTAAATCTCTTTAAAATTTCATATTGCAAAATGATGATGATGCTTTACAATTATTTTTCTCCATTCCATTGTATCTGTCTGAAATATCCCAATCTTTTAATAGGTAAAATAATTAGCAAATTTTTGTCAATTAAATTTTCGAGAAAAAAAACAAAATTCATCAGTTACTTCTTCCATTCCAATGAAGTCATTGGTTGTTCGAAGACCACCAATATATATAATATTATTGCCTATTACTGTCGCTGTATAGTCAAATCGGTTTAACGTTTGATCTGGAAACATTTTTGTTGCAAATGTTAAAGAATCGTCATTTGACGTCAACATTAAATAATATACAGCTGTATCGGAATTTGACGTCAAGTTATGATAGTTATCATCAACATCGCTAGACCCGCCATAAATATACCATTTTCCGTTTTGATCAATGACTGAATTTAAGCCGCGCCGTGCACTCGGTGATGCTGAAACTTCAAGGGGTTTGGATATTTGATTTTGTTTTGGATCGTATTGGATAATGTCCGCAGTTGTTTTATTCTGTATAAAGGAATAAAAATTTGCAATATGTTAATATAGTCAGATTCATTAATTTTTGATCTTAATATAATTTTTACCTCTGATGTGACGCCACCAAAATAAAAAATATTAGAGCCATTATCAACAGACGTTCCCCATGCGACAGAAAAATTCAGGGAAGTAATCTTTATAAAATTGTTGGAAATATTAGCTAAAGAAAAATTTGATGAAAGATCCAGTATTTGCATTTCATTGACAAACGCGCCAGTTGCATCTTTTCCACCAATAATATATATTTTTTGGTTTATAAGATTAGCTGTATGTCCGTATCTTGCTACTTGTGAATTAACATTTTCAAAAGTAATTAGAGCAAAAGTAAGAAACAAAAAATATCTAAAAATATTATTATAAATCAAATACATTGAAACGAATAATTTCTATTTCAAAAAAAATTTTAAATAATTATAATCAATACGAAAAACGAATTCTTTAAAGTTTTAGCGTGCAAACTTTTAGTACTCCAATTAATAATAAGAAATTTCTGGGTTCAACATTCGAAAAAACACAAATTCCTTTGTTATAGTTGAATTAAAAATTCGTTTATTGTTTACATGTGCATGTAAAACTATATTCATATCGATATACATGTAATAACAACGATAAAAGATTTCCAATCAAAAGCTCACTTGGTAAAGTTTATGTGCGCGTACGTGTTCTATTTATGTAGATGTACATGTATATTTTATGTTATGTGTATGCGTATGCGTATATAGCGATTGTTGAATTATAAATTCCTTGTACATGTACGTGTAATTGGGCACCATCGATATCCAGACCAGATTATCACTTTTTGTCTTATTTCCTAAAGTAGTCAGCTTCATGGATGTCACACGTTCCACGTCGAATGATAGGATAGGCTATATAGATTATAGGCATGTCCGATCAGCACCGTCACGGATTTCATATGTAAATTTTAAAAAAGTTTCTTTTGTTCGTTTACCTTCTCTAAAAATTCATTCAAAGAACTATAGGATTTTAGTCCATCTCGAGTTAAAGTTAAAATTTTATAGATAACTTTTAATATGATGCGCATGACAACTAGTGATCCTAACCGGTTAAGTGTTAACCAGTTAACCGGTTGACCGGTCAAAAATCCCTTATACGGTTAACCGGGTACAAAAAGCCAGATAAGTCTAATTTCGTATTTATAAGCAAACCTGCACGATTTGAACACAATGCTGCTGGCCTAACATTTGTTTCAATTCAATTCGCAAGAGCGATGAGCGGGCGTCAGAGAAGGCGAGGAAAAAAAAAAGTAGGTTTGGAGCTATTTTAATTTTAATTTTATGAGATTATAAATAAAGAAAACTGTTCTCAATATATTATTTCTTTTTTAAATTAAATACTGGATGTGAAGTACTAAGACTACCGAAATATCACTTGTTCCTCTTCCATCTGATGAACCTAAGAACCCAACTACTGACTAAACAACACTTCTTTCTTTACCACCTGATACACTTAATCAAGAACCAGCGATCAGCCAAACGATATCTCCTCTTCTTTTGTTGTCGAATACACCGATTACCGACCACACACCTGATGAATTTAACATTGATCAAACACCACTTCCTCTTCCGCCTCCACTTGATTTAGCACTCTTCAATGAACGACTTGAAGTCCATAGTAGTTCTATTACATTTCCAAATTTGGTAACTGAGCATGATTCTGAAGAGTCCGGAGAAACTGAAAATGAATGTACACCTACCTCTTTCTTACAAACATCTCGTAAACAAAAACGAAGATAAAAAAAATGCGAGTTGGGTGTGGAAGTGGTTTGATAAGAATCAAAAGAAGGGAATTGGAAAATACAAAGTAGCTGCATACAATGTAACCTTTTCTCTGAGTAGTGCCACCTCCTTGTATGCCTATCATCTTAGCTGTATTCACCTTATAACCAAAAATACTTCACTGTACCAAAATTAAATAAGATAATAAACTATAGAAGAGAGTATTGCAACAACAAAATCTCTTCCAAAAGATAAACAAGAACTAGCAAATTTTCGTCTCTTAGAATTTATGATCGATGATTTGCAACCATTTACCTTGTTAGATAACAAGAAATTCAAGACTTTCTGCGCTACATTATGTCCATGATACCAATGATTGCTCAAAGCATTGAGTTTTTATGACAAGTTTTAGCTGGCATTCTTGATAAATCTATGGCAAAAATAAGCTTTATAACTGATTTATGAACCGGATATCACCAATCCTATATTGGTATCACTGCTCATTGGATTACTGAGGATTTTGAGCTTTAGCAAGCTTTGCTTTCCATTGAAGAAATGTCTTGCAATAATACTGGCATAAATATAGCCACCATATACTTGATTGTTGGCACATATATTTACAAGAATGAATTCTTATTAGTATAAGCAATAATAACAAAAAAGTATTAAAAGCTTTTTAAGAATTGGAAATTGCAAATCTTTCTTGCTGTGCTCATACTATCCATTTGGCAGTTTCTGATAGACTTCAAATTGATTCTGGTCAAGAATTATTACAAAAGGCCAAAGCACTTAATCTTTTTCTTGTTCATCGTGACAAATACTGAAGTCATTGTTTATAAATTCAAAAAGCTCTTTAACCTAACAAGGAATAACTTTCTCCAATTCGAGATATTGATACTAGATGGAATTCCATCTACAAAGTTCTTGAATGGCTTCTTGTATTAAAACAAGCAATTCAATCTATATATCAAGCAATACAAGAAGATGATAACCATGATATTTGCAAAGATGAAAATATCTTGGGCACATTATATTTGACAAGAGATGCTTGGAAAAATATTGAAGAATTAGTATTTGTTCTTTGACCATTTGAACAAGCTACAAAATTTTTGAGTGGTGCAACTTATTCAGCTTTATCTATTCTTTGTCCTATAATTGAAAGTCTTTCAACACATGCAATATAAAACTCAGCAACTTACTTGTTCTATAATTATACAAATTCGTGATTTTATTTTAGAATCAATGGAAAGACGCTAGAATAATCCTCAAGATTTTGGATTATTAGCATCTTTATTAGATCCCTGTTTTAAATCATTATTCTTTATTTCATCTTCAAAAAAAGGACATGAACTTTCTTTAGTACATAATATTATTGTATTTTCATTTGGAACTGAGCCTTCTTTACACACTTCTATATCTACAATTGAATCTTCTCCTATGTTACAATTTTTCGAAAATTTTAGTATTTTTACTTTATCTACAACTAATATAGTTGATAAATCAGAATTAGAAATTTTTTTGGAATTTCCTGATCTTTCTCTAACCGAAAAAAATGATCTAATTCGATAGTGGAAAATTCATCATAGAACCTTTCCACAATTATCAAAAATTGCTTGTCATTATTTGTCTATTCCTGCAAGCTCTAGTGCAGGAAATATTACTGAAAAATGAAATCGACTTGATCCAACAAAAGTTTCTGATCTTTTATTTTTGAAAGAAAATTCAAAAATTTTTACTGTTGTTCCTAAATAGTTTTTAACGAACAATAAAATTTGATTAAAGAAATCCATTAGTTATAATTATATTATAATCGGTTAATCACATAAAATTTAAATGATTAGGATTTTTTAACTGGTTAGGATCACTAATGACAACAAAAAAAGTGATCACATATGATAATTTCTAATCTTACAAAAAAAGTTATCATTTTCGTTATATTAAACATGAAACAATGAATCCAGATCCAGCAACAAAAACGATCAAGATAATACAGACTCAAACTGCGATAATAATAATGATAATAGAAGCAAAATAATGCTAAGCACAGATTCTCAAAGAAACTAGGTATTTTAAACAAACAATTATTCATGTTAAATTTATCAGAATGCACAATATTGACCAAAAATTATCTTTTTAATCTATTGCAATGCTTGCTCATAATCTTTGTTAACATTAATACCAAAATGGTAAATAAAACCGAATTTTAAGCATCAAATTACATATGTCAATTTGTTTTTATCGTTTAGTATTATTTTTTCACTGCTGTAAAATGTGCAACTTTATTCACAACCAGCTTTTACATGATATCTATGTGCATTCTTCAAGTTTTGTTACATCTTGCATTTAGATGGATCCCAATATTATAAATAACTAATAAATCTTTGGTTATCATTTTGTGTTGCATATTTAAATAAAGAATGTGAAGGTAGATTGTCAGAACTAAAATCTACTAGTAATAAGTCATCACAAAGCTTCTTTTCGTGATTTATTATTATGCTTATTACAAATAAGATGACCATTATCACTTAATAAATAATTAATCAATCTCTTTCATTTGATTTATGTTTCAAATCTTCAAAATTTTCAAGCCTTTCTTCATTATTTATTTTATGTTTTTATTCCAAATTTTTTTTTAATCCTTCTGGTTGTGTTAAATTAATTAATGAAACATAATTTAATAATTCTGTTAACAATGAATCTTTTTAAATAGAAAATAAATAAAAAGTTACTGATTAAGCATAATTATTATATCAGCAACAGGAAATAATATTGCAAAAGCAGGCAAATTTTCTAATTACACTTTGTAATTGCCATGTTGAATTTCAATTTTATGATTTATCCAAATTTCTACCCAGCTAAATTATTATTTAGCTTATATTTAATTATTGCTATACCAATAGTTATCAAGTTAACTTCAATATATGATATATAGCTGGATAATTAATCATATTCCAAGATATGCAACAATTAATATATTCAGAGAATTTGCAATAGATATATTATATATATTTTTATTAATATATCAAGCTTAATAAAACTGGACTTCAAAATGAGAATCATGTAACAGTTAAATGATATTAAATTTACTTTATTACTAATTAAAGTCAGATTCTTTAATTTTTCAATATGATTAATATAATTAATATTTGTATTATTATAAAGATTATAAAAGCATGATATTTGCTAATAGATTTCCATTTTATTTTAATTTCTTTTTATAATTCTAATAATATACTATATTTATCAAGTCTTTTCTTGAATTTTTAATAAATATTAATAATTTTCTTTAATTTTACTAGTTAATTTTTTATAAAAGTTGAATTCCGATTCAAAAATCAATTTTTAATTATAATTAATATTGTTCAAATATTAATGTTAATTGATAAATTGATAAAGAATTTTTTTCATAATGATGTTGAGATCTGATTTTTAATAAATCTTATACATAAGAAATCAGCTATTTTATTTTCGGTTTAATTTTATTAAATTTAAATAACTGATCTATTATATCCTTTATTTAGATCGTAAGAAATCAGCGATTTTATTTTGCATTTTCTTTTTAATTTATACGCATTTTCATTTAGAAGCAACTATTGAATTCTATATTGAGATACAAACCTTTTTGCATTGAACCATATCAGAAAACAAAAAGCATCTCTCACTTTCATTTACTTTTTTATAAACTCAAATAATTTGCTTTGAATTGTGCAATGATCTTGGCACAACTTTAATTTCTCCGTATCATTTGAATTTATTATTTCAGGATCCCACTTGGGAAGATTACCTACTATAAACAATAATCCATTCAAACCAGATTGCTTTATAAAATAACCCAAAACCTTAAGATACATGTATTTAATGTAAATCTTTCAAAGGAATCTCTTTATTTGTGCTATCTGAAATAGTCATCGCAGCGCTCAAATAGTACATCAATTATGAATATTGCGAACTAAACACTGATGGCAGTAATGAAAGTTTTGACAACACAAACATTGAGTTCACTTTATAAAATGCGGATTGCTTAAAATGAAGATAAAACAACCGAGATTGTCTTCATGCATATACACGTATTGTAACTTTTATTATTCATGTGCAATATAGATACTGTATATACAGTTTTTTATTGTTTATGTGTTAAGAAAAGCTATGAATTAAATAGAAAAGAAATTCATTCTGTCCATTTTTCAATTCGAGTACGTTCATTTACACTTAATGAGTAGTTGAAGCATTTTATTCGGTCAGCCTCGAATATCAATGAATTTGGAAAGCTTCTGGTTGACAAAGGAATTTTTGCTTTAGCAAATTTCTCCACAAGTAATCTACCCTTTCGTTTATTTGGATATTCGGTTATATTGAATTCAGTTTAATTTAAAATACGATTATATTAGTATAAATTTTGTATAATTGAGATCAAATAAACTACAGTAGCGGTCAAAAGTAGCCGACCCCTTATAATTTTTTATACTAAAAATTTTTTGTTTTAAACTTTTTAAAATAATTAAAATTACTGTATTAAATTTATATATTTATATAACATGTAATAACAAAAATTTAAATATAATTTAATAAACCAGTTGTTGAATTTAATTTTAAATTTTGGTATTAGATTATTTTTTATATACATATATTATAAATTTAATAAATTTTAATTTCTCAATAACTTTCTTATTAAATTATGTCAAATTTTTTGTTACTACAGTCAAAACTCCATAAAAGAACATGATTGGAACAGCCAAATTTTGTTCTATTGTAGAGTTGTTCTATTATGGAGGTTTTATACAACTAATAAATTGAATTGGTCCTATAAAAAAGTGTTCTTAGTGGGAGGTGCTCTTTTATGGAGGTTTGGCTGTAATATAAAAATTATTAATATAATTATTTTTATTGCATTTGATTGATATTTTTTTATTAATGTAAAATATTGATTTTAAAATTCAGCTCTCATGTAAATTTTGTTATAATAATTAAAAAAACTCATAGGATCTAGATTACCTATGCTGAAAATTCAAGACAATTAATCTTCAATTTAAAAAGTTACAGGGGGTCGGATACTTTTAACCGCTACTGTAAATAGTTCCGAAATTTGTATACATAACTTAATACCATTTGCTTCCATTTTCGGTGGATATATGGAGTAGTCAGTAAAACCAAGGTATTCAATCAATAATGGATATCAGTTTTTCATTATGAAATTTTGAAATATTATATTTTATATATTTATCGCAAAATCAAGATTTTACTGATTTGTTTGATTTTTTGCTGACTGTCCCCATATTAAGATCTTTTGAAGCACAATTTGTTATTATTTATACAAACCACATCACGATAAAATCTATCTGACTAAAAATTTCGAATTCATGTTCAATTTTTTATTAATTAACCATTGTGAAATAATTTGCAAAAAGTTACTTTTTTATAGCATTCGAACTTTCCAAATATTGAATTGAAAATTTAATATCGTATTCATGAATATTTTAATTGATTTTTTTTCTTTCGTAATGCATGAAATGAAGAGACATCATGCACCTTTTAAGAAACTTTATTCATATAAAGCACTTTCAACAAATCAGACAAAATCAAGTGAATGATCGATAACTAATCGTTTTATTAATAATTAACACATTATATTATAATTTTAATTTATTAGAGACTAGAAACATAATCTTGAAAGAACCATTGATTGGATTTTCGACTTTAAACTAGTAAAAATTATGCGCTTTATCAAAACCATGTGCGTTTAGAAATATACAAGATCAGATTGAATTATTTACTTGATCTAACACATTATTACATTGAAATTTAAGTATTTGAAATTATATTTACATTACCTTTAAAAGTTTTTTGTCACATTTAGAATTTGAAACACGTATTAGCTAACGTTAACATGCCAAGCGTATGTCGATTAAACGCATTTTATAAAATGAAAACTCCAAGATAAAATCGAATACTTATGATTGTAATAATACTTAAATCAATTTACAACTGATAGTAAGCCATATGCAAAATTGGTGATTTCCAACTACAAAAAAATTGACTGTTTATTAGAGCATTATTCAACGAAGAAAATTTGTACGTTGTGGCTTTCAACTAGAAATATATTAATAATGCATATAACTGCTCTTCAATCAATATATAAAATTGCTGATTTTGTGACTTAGCATTCCAACCAGTATAGAAAATATAAAGAAATCTGTGAATAATTCTTTATGTGAGTTCAGAAGTGTTAAATGGAAAACCATGGCAGATATATAATTTTGGGATGGTTATGTAGCTGGTGGACTGTCATTTGTTGAGAGAAGTCATGATAATGAACTCATGTTAGACATTTATAAAGGAATATAAAATAATGTTCGTGTAAAATTTATTATTGAAAATAATTGTGATCCGATTCTAGAAATAGACTAACTGTTTGGCAACTTGATACCTTATATTTAGAATCCGAATAAGTTTAGTATCGAATATAAATATATATTTGAAAATAAATGTTTAAATATGACCTCTATACACATATTTATAATAGAATAAATAAATTTAACTATCGTTAAATGTATGATCAAAAATGATAAAGATACAAAGAAATTGAAACCATTTTGTATTAACTTTAATTTTTAATATCTAAATCTGTAGTTTTCTAGCAAGCCTTAATTCTGATTGATTATGTTGTAAAACCTAAATAATTGATGAATTTAAATCGAACTGAAATGTCATTTTTGTTTGAATATAAAAATAAATTTGCGTACCTGTATCAGTTGATATTAATATTGATTTTGAAGGAGACTTTCAACTAGTTTAAATGGCATTTGAGTAGGTTTGTTGTTTATGTTCACATTCAACACATTCTATAATCATCTAATTTAGGATATCCTAAAGAAATGGAGTATTGAAAATGCAAATAATAAAGTTCCTTAGAGTTGAACTGCTGCTTTCTGTTGAGATATCGTGTCCGAATACAAAATAGAAACTTAAACTATAAATAATATTAGTGGCGTTTAAGTCAGAGTATTGTAAATTTCCAAATTCATCATCATTCATGCATTATATGGCTGAAAAATTTTTGTGTTTTTCATTAATTACTTCCGGGCAGTCACCCATACGTGCATATATTAACCCACTGGCGTCATACACATGTGCATGTAGAAAAGTTTCTTATAGGATATCTTCTGTTTGTTTTAAAAATAGAATCGAATATGAGATTTTTAAACTGAAAATATATACAAAACAACATAGATGATCGTGTGAAACAGTATCCCAAAAGATCGAAATCTCGAATGAACGACATCCCAAAAGTATAGTACATGTATCCCAAACGCATATTTCTCCGTGGACCTTGTGTTTTAGCTGAAATTTCAACTTGATTATAAAATTATACATGTAATGAAATAGATAAATATTTTCTAATAGACAAGTTGAATGCGAAGATTATTCACTCGCTATTTATTTTAAATTTCGACAAAATATGCGCTGAAAAAAACTGGATGAGAATAGCGAGACCAATAATTTATTTACATTAAATATGTAAAAATAAATTTTGTTCGATATGATAGCCGAGTTAATATTAATTTACTCTTGCTTTGGTAATTTCAATATTATTCTAAATTCATATGATATCAATGGTTTGATAATAATAAATAAAAAAGATTTGCTTAAATCTTTTCGTACTTAAACCAGAGTTTAATACGCTGATGGAAATTATTGAACATCTGTTGTATTTATAATATCTTGAACTTGGTTTTAAAGTACATGTATAGCATTTGTGTTTTAATACATTTTGAACTATGATACTTAAGGTTAAAGAAAATACAAAAATTTATAAAAGGTCACATTCAATCAAATTTTTATTTTCTTTAAACCTTGAGATATAAAAACGATGAACAGTTAAGTAAACCTGGTTACAATTTGACCAATATGATTTTTATTTCATTTTGCTTGAATTTTTTTATTGTGTGAGTGTTTGTTTGATTAATGCAAACATGCGCATCGATTTGACCGAGTATGTACTTAGAATTTAGGGTCTTAATTTAAACATTTACATGACCGAAAATAAAAAATCCATTTGGCTCTAATCAACAGTACCAAATGATGAGTTTCTTATTTTCAAGACTTATGAATTTGAAAGGGATGGTTTATAGTTTAAAAACTTTTCAGATCTGGGATAGAAAAATTTACAATTCTAAATTAAAGCTCTAATGAGGAAGTAATATCATACATTGAATTATTATCACGTGATTAGGAATCAAGAAAGATTCATATAAAAACTTTCTTTTTTTTGGCAAACATTTCTAAAATACTGAATTTAGTTTAGTAAACAATTATCGTATATGACCAAAAATAAGGATCCCCGAAAATAAGAAATCTCTTCATTTTGAAAAGAAAAAGCAAACGATTCCTCTGTGTGACAAAATTTTTGTTTTAAGTTTGCAATTGAAAAAGCCTGAGCTTTTCTGGGCACCTTTTCATTTGTTGTAACATAATCACACGACAAGGGTTATACACGTAATATGGATCAGGTTAGGATTATATAACGAATAAAGACACATCAAAATTTTGCAACATTTTTGTTAGTACATAAAAGTGGCAAAATTCCGAGACACAAGCATTTTATTTCTTTTGTAATCTTTTGCGTTACATATTGATCTTGGTGTACATGTAATCGATTATCTGGCTCAGATTTTTCACGACAGCTGTATTGCATCATACATGTACTTATTACCGGATACAAATCAAAATTTGGTCTTTAAAACAGGTGCGATGTATAGTTGGTAAAATTTGTTCAATTTTAAAATAAAATAGAAAATTTATAAGCATAGATTCAGCTATTAATCTGAGTTACAACATGGCGTTGAGACTTTTTCCAACTAGATATCTAAATCAATAGCTATTAACCTGCAAATTCAGTTTCATAAGAAAGTATTAAACATATAATTTGGATGGAACCTCTAAAAGATTATAAGGTAGGTCAGATCAATATATGCATTGTTACGTTAATAACTTGTGCACATGAACTAAATATGATTGATTGTTATCTGTCCATATATTTTATCGTTAGGGTATTACGTAATAGTGGCAGACCCTCCCCTCCAATAAGAGCGATTATATAACTTCTATTTTTGGTTCTTGTGCGGCATCAGATATTTTTACTCCATATTGCTATTACGTAATATCTGTGAGTCCCTTTATTGTTTCTGCTTTTATTAGATTCAGTTTTTTAAATATGAAACTTTATCGAAAAGGTGAACAGGCTGTTTATGTGTCATAAAGGTTAGATCATATAATGAATTAATAAAATAAAAAATTTCACGTATTTAATTCTCAAACCAATCATAAATATTTTTATAGCCGCGTGATTTTTAAAAACTTTGAAACACTTTGTGTTTGTGTATAATATGTAGTTGACGTCTTTATTGTGATTCCAACTGTACAACTCATGGCATGTATACATCTACACAAATCGGTGTATGTTTATGCATGGTTTGAAACAATCTACATATATTCCGATAAACTGGTAAAAAACCGCCAACTTGCAGAATTTGCTTTTTTCTCTATAAAAGGCCTATTTACTTTCCTCTTTAACGTAAAAATCGCAATTAGAAACAATATAAATTTCATATTTTATAAAGTCAATTCAAGATAATTATGTAGATCAATTAATAGAGTACTCCAGTTTATATTAAAATATATAACTTGGGATTACTCCGGAGTGGGTTATATTTGAGCACTCCTGAAAAACACTCGGAATTCGGAATTTTCTTAGAGGCTTACCAAAAAAGGCTAGTGTGACAACTATTTTCTCTCTTTGAAGGCGAGTGTATTACAAGTAATCATATGAAAAGATTTTTATTTTCCCTGTAAACACGGTAAAATCTTTATGAATGGCATGAATTGATAAGTATAACTGCAGATATACAATACATGTATGTGTTTGATGCATATAAAAAATTTTTGCCAGGTTTTGTCGATTCTATTAGTCAATTTAAAGAAAGATCAGAGGTTAAAGTAAGGATTAGGGTTGACATCAAAGTAAGTTACGTTATTTTTGTGCCGGATTTGAGCTGATTCGAAATTTTTCATTCTTATTGGCTGTTGGCTGATGATCAACCAAACTTGGCACATTATATTATGTCAATAAGTTTTTCTAACCAAGTTGCTAGATGCATAATCATCTTCGGGTATGGCTTTTTGTTGAACTCATATTTATGCGTGTAATGACGTTAAAAGGTAACAAGACGTGTTATGTATACTGAATTTTTGCGTATTTCCCGTATTTTTACGTTACCATACCGGCCTATTTGTGACATTCCTTTTCATAATGGTTCTAAATAGAGATGTGATTGTAAATTCGTCAGAAATTTTGGTACACCAATTAATTTATGTAAATTAATTACAAGTGCTTGGCTTGTTAATATGGCTTAATTAAAAACAAAATTCTTGTGCAAAAATTTATTTTTTAATGAGATCTGCTTAAAAAATTAAAAAATTTGAAAATAGTATTAGATGACTGCCATAAATAACTATATAATAAATGAGTCTAATTCAAATGATGAATTGAACATAAACAATGGGTTTACTTATTTAATAGTATAATTTTGGGATACTTGTGCATATTCTATAAAGTAGTGTACATGCTTATACGTAATGATTGTTAGATTAACTTTGTGCTTGTTGGCATACGTGCATATGTGCTTAAAATGTATGTAAATTATATACACATAATATACTTATAATAAAAATTAATGATAAAAAAACGAATTGGCATAAAAAATGAATTTAAAGATAAAATTATTGAATATTCTCATAATGCAATTGCAATTAGTTAAAATATGTCAGTGGTTCCTGTTATAAAATTTTGCATCACGTTTATATTTGCAGCTGGAGGTTGTTGCTGAGGCAATTGTTGATTGAAGATATTATTTGTGCCATTGATGAAATTTATATGCTCAGCTGAGATCTGTTGCTGAAATTGTTGATTTGGTGGAGGTTGATTCATTGTTTACAATGATCTTGAATTTTAAATGAAAATATTCAATTAATTATTTAGCAATAAAAGTAGAAACTGTTTTATTTTTGAGGAAAAGAAAATTGGTTATATTTATAGAGGCAGTTTTTATTGATTTAATAATAACAGTATAAAAACCTTTTTTTGATCATTGCTGTGCTCTTATAACAAAGGATTCTGTTTAGCGAAACAGTCACAGTTAGAATGAGAGGTGCATATTGATTCAACATAGTCACTTCCAAATATTTCATATAAAATTTATTGCATACTCAGAAAATAAAGTTTGTTATCATATCATACTGATTTTGCGCAGCATTCGCTTTTATATAGTTATTAAGAAGCTCACTACGTATGTAATTCGCTGCATAAATTTCTAATGAAATATATGGAAACCGAGTAGTTATGCAATATGCAAGTTATTTCTAAATATTTGTTATGGCATTCTTAATATTTTTCAAAGATACTTTTTTTGATAAAGAATCTTTTTTTGATAAAATCATTGAAACTAATGCAACCATAAGGATTTGGATGTAAAAGAATGTCGCATCCCATTCATTGATTTCTTTTAAAGGAACAAATTATAAACTAATTCTTTTATCGATTAAAAATATCGAGCGAGGATGCGTGATTTTATAATTGATCAAGATTTACATTATACATGTACATGTGCATGCAGATGGAAATAATGATGCATATTTTTTCCTTTATTATCAGACGTTTCAAATAAATCCCTGCACATGATAAAAACGATAGGCTTGGTGAGGCAATTTACATGATCATATTTTTAAACTTTAACCAATCATTATTCGGCGGGACTGAAAATTTAGAGGGACTTATCACATGTATAAACAAATTTAGGTAGTGGTGAAAATGAGATAACAATACATAATATGCACATGCATGCATTTGGTTCAATTGAAAATTGACGGATGCTCCCCCTTCTTCGCCCTCACTTCCGGAGGCACGCGCGAAGCGCCTTGACCCGACTTGTCGGTGGGAGGGGGGAGACAATTGTGCACGTGCATTGGGTGCTAGTTGTAACAACGTCCGTTTTCATTATCATTTATACATGAATTGTCACAAATTAGTTTTGTGTAACATTTAGGAGAGACTTAAAATTCATAATTGCATGTACAATACAGCCAATTGCGCTTTAAAGATCTGGCTGTAGGAGATCAAACTACTTATACATCCTAATAGCTGGAGCTGAGAAACAGAGCAAATAGAATGTAGTTAGTATTATTAAAAAAGAATATTACTAAACATTCAATGCATCAACACGTTTGACATTAATATTAAACTTTATTTTCTACTCTATCACACGTATAGAGTTAGTTTCAAAAAGAGCATGAATAAGATAAATAAAAATCTAATTTTCAAAATAATATCGATGCATTGTTAGATGCAAATTAAACTAATAAACAATGGACTAGTAAAATCCGCATTTTGTCGCTGTGCAACTATTAGGAATATACAGTATGTGACAAAAAAACTTAATTATACTAAATTCGTCATAAATCCACAAATATTGCATCAAATTTTCTGATCAATATAGCATTTAAAAGCAAAAAAGTTAAAGCTTAAAAATTGATTTGTCCACCTTTGTTTTCAATAACTAACTCACAATAATGTCTCATCAAATTTATTAAATTATTTAGAATAATTTTTCGAATAGGATTCTATTTTTCTTAACAATAACCTATAAATGTTTTATAGGATTAAGTTCAGTTTGAATAGTTTAGGTATAAAATGAATATTTTTATTCTAATAATGTAATGAGCTATATATCTTTTATTTGCAAATAGTTGATGACATTTTGATAGTAAATTTTACAAGAGTTTAATAAGTATATTAAATAAATCTATTTAACTTTAATTCAATAAAAAATGATATAGATTAAGCTAAAATTAGAGATATTTATTTATTATCTAATGTGATTAGCAAATAGTTAAGTTTTTTTGTTATATACTATATATATTAAACTTAATAATATATTAAAAGCAATGTACAGTCATCACAGAAAGTAATATTTAATTTTTTTAAAAAATAGAATTTTGAATTTATTTTATTTCTGTCTTATGAATATAAAAATATTTTTATTACTAGCTAATACATTATTAACTCTTCATATAACTCTAATATCACTTTGATTTTTTAAAATATTGAGTCTATAATCTTCTAAAAAGCCAACATATCAAATTTTCTTCAGAGTAGTCTTGAGCTTTTTCACAGTTCTTGAAAAACTTATACACTTTAGAATATTATTTTCTAATAGTTTGGTGATATTTCTATAAAGTTTGGATCATGAAAACATAATATTTATTGATTTCTCCATTTGATTCTATTCATAGCTTCTTTTTTCAATGTAGATTTAGTTTTATTTTTTTGAAACATCATGTTCTCTCAAATCAATGAACAAATTATATTATGAAAAGAGACCAAATTATCTTAAAGAAACTTTAGATAAGCTTTTACATGAATTTTTTTATTATCAATATTATGAAATAGAGACCAAATTATCTTAAAGAAACTTTAGATAAGCTTTTACATGAATTTTTTTATTATCAATATTATGAAATAATCCAGAATATCTTTTTTTGCTTCTTGTATAGATGCATATTTTTCTTAATTTTAAAAGCCTATGGTCTTCCAGATAGTGATAAATTTTTGTTTTTCCTGTCTCTTTTGTATTTGGCAAGAGACTGTTACATATTATTAGATTACAACACATTTTTCTTGATTTAAAAGAACATGATGTTCAAAAAAAATAAAACTTGATCTATATTAGGAAAAAAAATGAAATATATTCAAATAAAGTAAATCAGCACCAAGCAAGCTGCAATGAACAAATTATATTATGAAAAGGGATCAAATTCCTTAGAGAATCTTCAGGTAAGTTTTTGCACAGATTTTTTGTTACCTATATCATGAAATGGCTCAGGATGTCATTTTTAGTTTCTTGTCATATATGCATGTTTTTCTTGATCGTTATGAGCTTATGATCTCTCAGACCGTGGTAAATTTTTGTTTTTCCTGTACCTGGCAAGAGACTATTATATACTCTTACTGGATTCCATCACATTTTTCTTGCAACTTGCTTGACACTCACAACTTCATAAAAATCACTATTTTTATCCTTGTCAAAGATGGCCTACTGGTATGACAAGTATTATATTTGCATCTAAAGAAATTTCACCCAGTGTATGTTTAAAAGTAAAAGAAGAAAAAATTATTGACAACAATAACAAAAAAATGGGAAACGCGACGCATATATTTACCTATGTTGCTACAAATGCAAATCGGGCGTTATTTTATGTGGCGACTGTACAAAATCAAACTATTCCTTGAAAAATAATTTAATTTTTTGTAGCGCTTCAGAATAATTTGTATCTTTATTTTTAAAACGCTCAATATGTTCATTCGCCTTGGTTTTATATAGTAATTAAATAGCAATTTTACTTTCGTTAGGACATAGAAACTAAACATTTGCAGAACGATAAACTTAGAAACAAAATAAAAGCACATGTAATATTTGAAATCAAAAATTGAATTGTGATTTTATCGAATCCATTTTTACCATTTTATCTTTCCATCATTGACATTATGATTTAGGATACTCTTTGATTTTTATAATCCCAAAAGTTATAATACAGAGCATTTAAATGGATAGAATTGATAAAATAGAAGTTTGTCAGCAATTGTGCTATTTAGTTTTACTTTATTTATGATTTCTTTTATTAAATTGTTGTTGGTATGCGTTTTATTTCAAAGTACCAAAATTTTTATATTTGAATATTGCAATCATGAGTATTCAATTCATTCTTGAGCACCATATCTTTATGAATGATGTCTAAACATGGAGAGCATTAAAACCAGAGTATCATTATTAGTTATCAAATTTATTTATAAGTTTTATAAAGATTTTATTAGTACATGTACATATACGTGTACTAGCGCAAGCTCTTTAAAATTTGTGCTGGTCTTTTTTTATTTAGTGTTAGATTTATTCACGAATCTTTGCAATTGGATTTACACTAACGTACATTTCTCAATCAGCCAGCAACAAATAAGAATGCATGAAATTTTAAAAGAAAATGAAAATGTGAAAATGCAGGAAACATATGCTTGAACAATTTTACATATAATTTTCATCCTTAAAATTAACCCTTAATATTTAAGTAAAAATTTCTTTATTGACAATACCCTATTCAGACTGTTTAAATGGTTAGTGAGAACAAACTCAATAGATTTATGCATGTCGACTCCTTCGAGTATTTTTTTTGTTTAATGATCATTTATTTTGATGTTAGACTATATGACAATCGAAAATAAATACATATATATATGTATATATATGTATATATATTAATAAGCTCGTGTTAGTGGTTGAGTTTTGCATTGCATTTCTGACTAATTCATGTCCTGATAAATGATCACATAATCAAAATTTCCTAATTTTTAATGTATGTAAATTAAAAAACTTTAATTTTAATTTGTGTTATGAACATTTACATATACATGCATATATCCCCACTTTAACAAACCTTATTCATCTGCTTTATGTTATTTAAAGGTTTGATATTTATTTTAAACTTAAAAACTTAAAATAAGAATTATTCGTAAGTCATTTTAGTAAAACAAACATGTGGTATGGCTAAAGTATAATTATACTAAAAATTAAATTCCTAAATTTCATATTTCCATATCAGAAAGATAAATAAATACAATTCTTTTAAATAGCTTATTGTTAAAGAAGAAATGTCGCAATGAGTTGAATGTAATATACTGTATCATATGTTTAAAGAAATCTTTTATTTAAATAGTCAATTATTATTTAAAGAATTGAATAAAAAGTAGTTTATTATACATTTGTTGCAAAATACCAAGTAGGCATATGACTTGAACCTATTATTAGACCTGACAGGCCATCGTATTGAAATGATGATACTGAATTAGGCTTCAAACATAAACAGTAAAAAATCTTTGTTACTACGATTAATCAAGTATTATTTAGATCTTAAAATTTTTAACGCATCATCTATATTATTATTTTTACTGTAATGTATATATACCGATTAAAATACTCTCATTTCCCCGTTTCCACCAATCATTTATCAGGCTTTGTTTAGACCTAAGTATTTTAATCAGCAGCGCATACGATATTTCTATTTACTTTCGCTTAATTATTGTCTAGATTATCTCGTTTGGCGTGTTATATCATGGTTTCTTGTCTGGTATTTGAAAATTTTTGAATGAGCTGTAATTTTTTTTATCTAATCAATTAATTGAAATTTTTAGTCATTTCATGTTATAAGACACTCAAATATAATATATGTATTCGCTCTAAGAGAAATTATCCTCGTTAAACTGATCATTCATCAGTGATTAATATGTGGATTTAATTCTAGTTTCTCTAACATTATAGAAAATGATGGATGAGGCTTTAAATTATAATTTTAATTCATATTGTTTGATTAATCTTTTATTTTGACATAAAATAACGAATATTGAGAATGAAGAATTAACAATACTTTGGTTTACCAGAGAGACAAAGCGTAATGATTGTTAGATTTATTGGTAAAGAAAAGACGTAAAAATCTTGGCTAGTTTTGTGTTAGCAATATTTATCAATGAAGTCAATTCCTAAAAATTTGATAGTGATAAGTTACTATAGTCAAATACTCGGCATTTTAAAATATATACAGATTTTAAGCTATATTTCAAGTTAGCCTTTCTGCAAGTTGTTTTTGTTATGTATGTTGTCAATGATATCAAATATACGGTTAAAAATATCATATATATGAACAAATTAATGCATACTTTCGAGTGTTATTTCACAGTATCTCGAATATATACATAGAGTGGACCTCTTACTCACATCAATTATAGTCATAATCTTTTATCACCCAACTAGAGTTTTCAAGAGGCAAAAATATATTACATATCTTATAGTCATAATATAGAAATATTGTTGCCATCGCGACGGAAAATCCCGTGATTACGAAAATTTTAGAGTGATCACGAGATTCATTTCATGTAACATCATCGCTTCGTAAAAATTCTTATCTTGTGTATCAACCCTTCCTAAAGGATGTGATTACATGTATCAATAAAGATTATAAACATTTGTATCTTACGTTATTCTCTTGCTCCATAAACCTGATTTACGCAAAGCAGGTTTCATTGGGGTTTTAAAAGTCTCCTAGCCAATCTACACGGAGATTGTGCAATCAAGGGCAAGGGAATTCAAAGGAAAAACGTAAAGCTTGGAATAATAATATTTAATTCAAATAACAAAAAATAACAATACAAATTTTACTAATAAAACTCAAATAATACTTTAATCCAAACCACAAAATAAAATAGGCTTGTTCCGAAACAATAATATGATTTGAACAAAGTAATTAAATCAAAGAATCAAACGTAACAAAGGATCAAACACAATTCATTAACTTTGTATGGCCAAAGCAGTAAACCTTTCGATTTTGTTAAACACAAAAGAAATAAAGCTATTAATATTGTTAAGAAGCAAAAGAAATAAAAGCAGAAACGTTGTTAAATAAGAGTTAAAAATAGTTTTTATTATTTTTCTTCAAACGACACATCAACTTATCTCTAAGTTCTTCGAGAGCCATCCTTTATATACATTTTGGCTTCTATATACTGTAACTATCTAGACTACAAATCGTAAATTATTATAATAATTCACGGGCTACTAGGTATAAAGTATGAATTGTTGTAAGAATTTTTTACAAAAGGGTATGGCTATGCCTCGAAACAAAGAATAATCGTATAATTAATCGTAATTATAAAAAAATAAAAGCAAATTATTACGTACAGCACAAAATGTGAAGTTTGGCAGGAATTTTGTAAGAATTTCTATGGATCATCGAATAACGTACGAGATGAATGCTTGTATGGGTCTATAGATAATCACATTTTTGGGACCACAAAGAATTTTTATGTTATAAAGTAAGAATTTTGTATGAATCTCGTGGAATTTTGATTAGCTCAGGTGATATTTTTAACATTATGATCCCGCAATCACGGGATTTTTCGTGTATATTCTAAGCTGTTGTATTTTTTAATGTTATTGACTGACTAGCGCTTATTTTCTTCTCGACGGTATCAAATAATCGACGTGTTTTCTGGAATCGATTGGCGGAAGTTTCAAATAATTAAGCAACCCTTTTGATGGCTTTTTCAAAGCACGTGTATAAATTATGTCTGTCTTTACATGCGTTGATAATCTCTCAGATAGTCAAACTCATTCAAATTTGCAACTAATGACTTAGTGAATTTTTTCATTTGGCGAACTTGTCGTAATTCCTTTTCTGCCCTGATTATTTTACAATAATCAATAAATCTTTCAGTCCAATAGTTTTCAATAAATCTTTCAGTCCAATAGTTTTCAATAAATCTTTCAGTCCAATAGTTTTCAATTGCTCTCTCAGCTTCTCTTTCAGCATCTAGCAAATAAAAGAAAAGATTCCCTGCATTAAGTTTGACCTTAATCAATGAATCAATCATTCATCTTATTTAATTGTCCTTTGAATTCTCGAAAGACGAGTTCCAGAAATTTTAATTGCCGTTGAATGAACCCTGAGAAATTTTGATCATCATCCCAATATGTGAACATTTTATAAAATTGTTCAACGAGAAGGTCGGGAATAAATGTGTCGTAGAAAGAAAAGTTTTCGTCTTCATCTGATGATTTTTCAGCATCTAATATGTCGTAATTAATGACATTTTTATATTGAAATTATTAACAGCTTCTGATGATTTGTGTCGAAACTCTTTTCTCCCCTTCGGCAACTTTAATATCAACAGCTAAACCGTTAAGAGAACCGGAAATAAGTGGATCATTTTTTTGAACCTCGTGGCTTTATCTTAAAGTGTCAGCAAGATCATATAATACGACCAAGTGTTGATTATACGCCGACGTTTCTTTGAAAAACCATTATATTAAAAGGATGATAGGGATTGTATAATCAAATGATATTGTAAAGAAATACCTGGAAAACTAGATCAAATAAATTTTTATTCGTCGAATTCGTTGCACCCACAAATACTTGAATGGCATATATTCTTGATATTTTATACCCTATTAAACTTTGATTAGTATGCAAATCTAATATTCTTTAAAGCTTTATATATGAGAATGTTTTTTATTCACAAACTTTAACATTTGTGATGAACTTAATATCAATCTTCTGTTAAATATATATGAAATGGATCTTATATTATCTGTCAATGAACTTTTTGATTAGAAAATAATTGATAGATCCTTCAAGTATTATTTGAAAATCATAAAAGATGTGAAAGAAGAAAATAGATATAAAAGTTCTTTCATAATTATTGATGCTTCTAATTAAATTTTAATTAAAAACATTTGAAGACTCATAAAAAATAATCTGGCAAAAAAAAATTAGAACTGTTAAGAATTGAAGAGGAAATTGCAAAAGGAATAGAGTTATTTACCTAAAAAATATGTGATTCAATTAGTCTCAAGTATAAGAAAGTTTGTAAAGCTTTAATTAAGATCAAGAATAATTATATTATATACAATCTTGTTGTATAAAATGGGAACTTTTAAATAAAAAAAAGATTTTTCATTTATCTTATCTTCTTATTAATCTAGAATATGGGAATATTTTTGACAGTTACTATATAACAAATTAATAAGTTATTTCACTTTATCTTTATATGATAATAACAGTTTTTAGTCTTACTGTTACTAATTTAACTTTTAAAATATGTACATCCTTCATGAATATCTTAAAATCAATGCTATATAAAACTTCTGTATTCTACTAATAAATACACACAAAAATATAATTTTCATCATTAAGTTTTTACAAGCAAATTTGTCATTTTCATACTTAGATCTCAATACAACTGCACTTGATAAATGAAACTCTTCACAAACAACTGGAGGTGCATGTCCAATAACAAAAATTAAATCATAGCTACGTTTTTAATGCTTCTTTATTCTGAATGAGAATGCTTCACAGAGCATCAATGTATATATAATATATGCTTTTATTCGTTATATCCTGTTGTTTTAATTGATCGTTATTGAACTCGAATATGTAGTTTCTTTACTTGCTGCAGTTATTACCGTTTACTATTATTATATGATTCTGTTGAAACTTTAAAATGAAAACAGCTAAAAGTAATATTCTTGCAATAAAATCGAGTTATATCTTCTATAAAGGTTTTTCCATTTGATTTAATAACTTTTGTTCCTCAAAGTCTAAAAATTTAATATTTTAAATAAGATCAAAATAGAAGTAATTATAATTATATAATAATAGAACTCGATCTAACATTCACATAACTGCAGAACTTAATTGATTTCTTATTTTAATTGTTGACACTAGAGGTGGGCGCCTAATCTATTTTCCTAACTATCGATATATAACTTCGGCGCCCAACTCTATATGAAACCCATTAATAATTAAACTGTTAATTAGTGGAGTTACTTTCTCTTGCAGGTATAGATATAAATACAGTATTTAAACAAGAGAATTTGTTTTACATGAGCATATGCAATTTTCAGACTTTCATTTATTTTCCTAATTTTATTCCTTAATTTTCATAACTAAGGAAAATGCATTAGTCTACTTGATGCTAGTTATGATAGGACATAATTATATGTTTCATAGATAAATTAACTAATAATAATCCTTTTAGACTTTATATTAGTTCAAAATCGTAATTAGTTGATCGATTTTCAAGTGTTAAATTTTAATCTGAATAACGCATTATGAACATATTCTATAAATTTATGATGTCTTTAAATTTCAGTTAGTATATCCGATTAGAAGAATAATGTAATCATTACACTGAGTCATTTCATCCTGTCTGAGTTCAAGCATAATTTTTACGTTTAATACTGTTATGATGTGATGTGATTATGTAGTACAGTACTTTTGTGACTATATTAAAAGATATAAATATTTCATCGATTACATTATACTAAAGACAAGCATAAACGAATAAAACACTAAATTTAAAAATCTAATTTCAATATTATTTATTCTAAATCGACAGAATCATGCTTGCTGTGATGGTTATCACCGTCATTTTCGTTAAATTTCCTTGATCGTTATTACCAACTTCATTTCCATCATTGTAATCCTCACTGCCGCTAGAGTTTCCGACGTTTCCGATTCCTACTGAGCTCTAGCAACTAGCGTAACGAAAAGGAAAACTAAGGCCAATGTTGTCGAGAAAATGTGTTTATACATTTTAGTGAGTTTTTCAGAATAATATCTTTTTTTAAAATGCTGTCAGTAATAGTAAATTATGTGAGAAACGTGAGCGAGGATGCTCTTTATAAGAAATTTCGACAATCAATATCATCTTTAACGATTACAAATTTCTAATTGTTATTCATCTAGCTAAATTGCTAAATTTTCTCAAATGATAGAAGGATGCACTGGTGTTCGAATCACATGCACATGTATCTGTGTTGCTTCTTTAAGTAGTATGTTTAGAATAAAAATGAACAATAATTGATTAATAAATAAAGAAGATGCGGTCAATATTTTTAGGCAAAACTTAAAATCAATGAAATTCTAAAAATTCGATTACATATGCTGTATGTACAAAGCATTGCCCGATTGAATTATATAGTAAGGATATACCGTATTTTCGCTAAATAACGCGCGTTATTTTGGGTATCTGCACCTATTTCGAGACAAAAGATCGATTTTCTGTTAAACGTGACTTTGAGATACATGTATATGTACATGTGTACATGTAGGAACGGTAACATTAAATCTCATATTTCCTTAATTTTTCCGAATACGACAAGAACAAGTGACCGTCGTCATTACCATAATAAGAATATTTATTAACATACGATAGCCAATATTGCACGTGTCGTGAATACAGTAATACATGTAGTAACAATTAACATATGAGATTCCCACAGTCGAAACAATTAAGTGTTTACCTTTTTCATTCGGAATAATTAATACATTATATTGTTACCGTCTATAGTTCCTTGTACTTTTAATACAGACACATCCGCTATGTTTGTATAGATCAATATCTAACACCATTTATAAGTATATTTCCTGGTCACATACCCCTTTTTAATTTCTGTTTATTACGATATTTAAGTCAACTTCTGGAGAAACATATAACTTTAGTGATCTTTAGAATTCTAGACCGATCTTCCTTGATATTCATATCCTTATTCTCTTAATACCCTTTCCATTGCTATCATTATATTGTCTTCGAATTTATTATTTAGAAAAAATAGTACCACTGGCAATTATCCTCTAATACTCCATTCCATTACTATCATTCATATTCTCTTCGAATTTATTATTTGGAATCGATAGTGCTATTGGCAAGATGGATAATCATAGGTATAGTATTGAAGTAATTGATATAAGAAGACTTTTGGGCGATATGCTGAAGTCTAAATAACCAAAAAGTTAGTCTGTGTATCGTTTTGAAGGAATTGAGTAAACTCAACTATTAGATTTGCTTTGTGCTATACTGTGAAGGTTGCTTTGTGCATTGATCCGAATTGTTATAGCTTTTGTAAAAACTAACACAGGAGACTCTTAGAACAGTAAAGAACCTCTCTTCTTATAAACCATTTAGTCTAAGCTCACCACCCCTTTAGTTACACCCTATATCCCTTGGAACCAATATCTTTAGAAGTTAGTATAACAGTACATCTATGGATATCGATATCAATTATAAACAATATAGATATGCATGTACTGTACATGTATTAGTTTTTTTATTTTTCTAAATTTTATGTTTTATTTATATTTTTTCAACTCGTATATATGTATGTTGTTTTTTTTACATTTTCAAGCTCCTTTTTTCTTGTATTATACGACGAATTGAGATGTTAAAAAGCTTCATGGAGTCGGTCTTTTGGGTCGACTTTGGTACGGACAATTTCGAGTCGAGTTTAGACTCGAGGGGCCGATCACAAAAATCACATGATGAATGAAATCAGGTGCTATCTTATAACGTAATTATTCCTTGAGAAACAAAGGATTATTTAAAAATTCTGAACAAACTAATTTTTAAATAATTTAAAGAATATAATTTGTCTCAGAGCCAAGTCAATTATAAATTGTGCTTTTACTTAGTTAACATTGTTAAATAATATTATTTATTTATTGCAAAAAACACCGATTGTAATTATTATAGATTAATATACAAGTCTCTATTATAGAATAAAACGTTATTATAAAAATATAGAATACATATCAGTACATATTTTTACGTAATAAAAAATCATATCACATGACGAATGAGTTTATACTCGAGTCTGACTTTAGACCGAGTTATTATTCAAAACTCGACTTCTAGAGTAGAGTTAACCAGGCCGGGCTTTTAACATCTCTAACGAAGAAATCCATAAATATAAAATGTGTTTGTTTTCTTGTTTGTATCGCTCGCGTGCAAGTTTTTTGCTTTATTTACAAGTGAACATAAGCCCAAAATAAAATTATACTATCGCGTTTAAAATTGAGTTAATTCATATGAAAAAGCTACTTACAAAATTGACTGGAAACGGGTTCAAGAAATGGCAGCAACAAAAAATAGGTTAAGATTGTGCCGAGTTCGAATTTATATTGAAAAATGCAATTTATCGAATTTATCAATGTTATATGGGGTGCGCGTTATTTCAGGACGCCCATGGACGCTATTTGAAATCCTTTATGCTATTTTTAAGGGTACGATTTCCGAGTAACGTCCATGGATTTTTTTCACGAAAACACGTATAAAAATTTTTTCATGATTTTATAATTAATAGTTTTTACATTTTAAATCTCTTACAGATAGGAAATATTATTTGAAAACTACGGTTGATTAACTTTACAATGGTATAAATCAGAAATATTTATTAAAGAATATGAAAATATGTATATAGTTTGAAATTTCTCTTTTATATATAAAGCATGGAAATTTTTTAATTTACAATCAAATGGTCTTTAGATTTTAAATCATTACCAGCTTCAGCTTTAAACTGATATATAAATTTGGAAACAATTACTTGAAAACATAAGAGAATAAAACACTAATTTAATGAACTAATTCAAACATTATTTATTCAAATCAATATGTATTTAATATTATCTCGCTTAGCAAATCACAAAATCACACAACTATGCTTGCCATTATGGCTACCACCGCCATTTTCGCTAAAGTCCCCTTGATCGTTATTACCAGCACCACCATTTCCATCAGTGTTAGAGTTTTCGACGTTTACTGGGGTTGTAGCAGCTAACGTAACGAAAAGGAAAACTGAGGCCAAAGTTATTGAGATAATGTGCTTAAGCATTTTAGTGAGTTTTTCAGAATGAATATATTTTGACCAACTTTTTAGGTTTATTTTTGAATTTTATCAGGAATATTAAGTTATGTGAAAGACGTGAGGAGGATGCTCTTTTATAAGAAATTTCAACAAATGAATATCATCTTTATAGATTACAATTTGATTTACAAATTTCTAATTGCTATTCATCTAGCTAAATTGCTAAATTTTCTCAAATCAATTACATATACATGCACATATACATGCATCTCTGTTACTTCTTTTAGCAATACATGCACTATGTTTAGAAAATAAACAATAATTAAATGAGGTAATATTTTTAGGCAAAACCTAAAATCAAAGAAATTCTAAAAATTTTTAATTACGTAAGTTACTGTACATGTACATGCAGCAAATATATGTAATTTTTCCTAACCTAGCGACATGTATTATTAACACCGTAGCTATATGATCGACAACCGACATATAGCACAGTCGCCAAAAAGTAACGCCCAAATTTTTTAAAAAATAAAATTTCGGATTCATTTTACTTCTGTCTTATGAATATAAAATATTTTTTTACCACTAGCTAATAATTATTAGCTCTTCATATGGCTCTAATATCGCTTTGATTTCAGACATTCAGCTACAACCTCCTCAAAAGCCAACACATCGAATTTCCTTCAGAGTAGTCTTGAGCTTTTTCGCGATCCTTGGAAAGCTTTTACACTATAGAATATTGTTCCCCAATAACTTGGAGACATTCTATGAAGTTTAGGTGATGAGAACACAATATTTATTGATTTCTCTATTTGATTCAATTCATGGCTTCTTTCCCTAATGTAGATCAAGTTTTATTTTTTTGAAACATCATGTTCTCTCAAACCAAAAAACAAATTATATTATGAAAAGGGTCCAAATTACCTTAGAGAATCTTCAGATAAGCTTTGCTTGAATTTTTATTACCAATGTTGTGAAATGGCTCAGGATGTCTTTTTTTGCTTCTTGTATAGGTGAATTTTTTTCTTGGTTTTTAAAAGCCTATAGTCTCCCAGACAGCGATAAATTTTTGTTTTTCCTGTCTTTTTTATACTTGACAAGAGATCATTACACTATCATCGGGTTACAACACATTTTTCTTGATTTGAAAGAACATGTTCAAAAAAATAAAACTTGGTTTACATTAGGGAAAAAAATGAAATAAATTCAAATAGAGTAAATCAGCACCAAGCAAGCTGCAATGAACAAATTTTATTATGAAAGGGATCAAATTACCTTAAAGAATCTTCAGGTAAGTTTTTGCACAGATTTTTTACTACCAATGTAATGAAATGGTTCAGGATGTCTTTTTTAGTTTCTTGCGTATATGCATTTTCTTCTTGATGGTTATGAGCTTATGGTCTTTCAGACAGTGGTAAATTTTTGTTTTTCCTGTTTCTTTTGTACTTGGCAAGAGACCATTATATACTCTTACTGGGTTCCGTCACATTTTTCTTACAACTTGCTTGGCACTCAAAACTTCATAAAAAATCACTATTTTTATCCTTGTCAAAGATGGCCTATTGGTACGACAGGTATCATATTTACACCTAAAAAAATTTTCGCCTAGTGTATGTTTAAAAATAAAAGAAGAAAATAATAAAAAAATTAGGGTCAACAATAACAAAAAATGGAAAACGCGACGCATATATTTACCTATGTTGTTACACATGCAAATAGGACGTTACTTTTGTGGCAACTGTACATGTCGCTCTAATTTTAAAGGCAAACTATTTCATTATTCTAAGAAAGAGTTTAGAACGTCCTACCTGTATTTTTATATTAATGCTCTTCTTTCAAAGTCGGTTATTTTACTAGTGCATTAATAATGAAGATTGACAAAAGTTTTTTTTACTGTACGTCATTTAACGTTAATCCAAAAGGAAATGACTTACGTGAAGAAGACTTAATTAATAATATCAGAACAAAAATGTTAGGTTACACGATTTCTAATTAGAATGTCCAAATTTAAAATAAATATAAAATCAAAATTGTATTATTTTATCGATTTCAGGCAAATTTCTTTATATTTTTGAAATATTATTACAATATAATATTTACTTAATTTATTAACAATAAAGTTTTATATTATTATATAAACCAGTTTTTATTAATAAATCAAGACTTATTAACTTAGTAAAATTTTAATTTATATTTAGTAATGATCATGATGTATTCATATGAAACCATATAAACTATCAAACATAAAAAGATATATATGTAATAAAAGTAATGAATGGTTAAACTAATAAACACGCGCGTAATAGTAAACACAAAGTAATTGAATCCGTTTTGCTTAAATCAGTTCATTCTTTTTATCAAAATCAGTTCTTATCTCAAAGAAAAAAATGAATTAAGAAGTCGATCAAGATTTTACCTTCATTTGGAGCATACAAAAGAACACTTGTAAAACCCAAATATTTTAGATCTTGGAATTGATGTTAATTTTGAAGAAGATTTGACTGGTATAAACTGCATTTGGGTGGATTTGTTGCTTTTTGATTTTATTCTTAGGAATGCTGGTGAGTTTTCTTCAAGTATCTCAATAGTTGCTCTATTTTCTGTAATAGGATCCCAATATTTTTTATGCGGAAATATTATTTGGTAACGTAGTACAACACTTTATGAATATCGCATAGGAGATCTCTACCATGACTTCATTCACAGCTTAATGTTTCTTCAGCTACAATCTTGTACATAACCATCCCAAAGCTATAAATATCACCAGCTTGAGTTTATAGCTTTCCACTTGGAAGTTCTCAATAAATTTCTTAATTCTTTCTATCCACTGAATCGACAAGACTAAAAGTCGTAATGAAAGTATTAATACATTTCAAGGGTGAAAGTCAAGATTTTTGTTAGATTTTTGATAACATTCAATCAATAACTAATTTTTCTTCTAAGTTAATTCGTCGTAGCTGGCACTATATGTAATATATTTATGAGAATTGTAATAGAGTATTTTTCTGAATAATTCTAACTGTCAAGTATTCATTTGTAGTTGAGTCTTTGGTTATCCCATAATGACTTATTCTAAAGTAAAGAATACTGTAACTTAGAACAGTCCGAACCTAATATTAATTAATCTAATTTTATTAATAAAATAAATTTGCTTTAGTTTACGTATTTTCAATATGATTCCGCATTTATCTTCATCTTTTCATCAGATATTTCAAATTTATCTTTTTCATGATTCACTTGTAAGAGCATTATAAATGCCTTTTGCAAGTCCTTCAAAATTGATAATTTTTCAAAAGAGTTCCATTAGAAATGACTACTGATTTTCATGCATTCATCTGTATTTTCATTAGTTTTATAAAACGATAAAAACATTCATTATAATATATGTTTACTTTATAATGAGTGCATCTTACTATAATCATGAAATCCAAAGTTATTTCTTAACAATCCGAAATTATAATACTCGCATTAAATGATATCTGTATATGTCAGCACAGAAAGTTAATACTAACCAAGTATTTACCGATACATGTATATGTACATAGTTATATCTGTTGGAAGTAAAGCTCCGTTCGGTTCTGATCAATCCCGTGACCAAAACCAAAGCTAATACTCCATTTCCGGTTTGAATTGTTATTTTTTCAATCCAAAAAACAATCAGTTCAGTTTTCAGTTCGTTCCGGATTTGCATCAGATCTGAAATGGTATACTGTAATTCGGTTCAAGATGATCCGATGATTTTAATTAATAGACTGTAGACAAAATTTTCAAATACATGTACACTTCCCGGTCAAAAGTGTCCGACCACTTTAAAACTAGATAAAAATGCACAAACTCCAACAATTAATGCCTTGACAATTTATAAACAAACATTATAAAAAATTTATATCATTTTATTCAAAAAAACATGAATTTTATTTAGATTTTCATGGCTATTTAATATTGCTTGAACCTGTCTTGGCAAACTTTCAACTAAATTTGTTAAAATTTCAGGTTCAATTTTATTCCACTCCTCCTCCAAAACTACCATTAATTCCACAATAGTTTTTGGATAAGGTATATGTTCCCTAACCCTTCTTTCCAAAACATCTTACAAATGTTTAATTAGATTAAGATCTGGACTCTGTGCAGGCCATAGAAGACTTAATACCAAATTGTTCTCTTTTCATTAATTGACCATTCTTGTCCTATGTATTAAGGTATTATTATTTTGAAAAATATTGTAAATTGTTTTCTAAACTATTATAAAAGAGTAAGAAAAGTATTTTCTAGTATGTTTAAATATATAAAATCTGTTATTCTATCTGAAACTTGAATTAAAGGACCAATTTTATCTTTTGCAAAACATTCCCATGTCATAACCACTTATTTTGCAGTTGGAATTAAGCAATTTACATCATATTTTTCATATAATCTATGCTAAACCCAATAGTATACATTATTTTGAAATAATATAAAGTAAGATTCATCACTTCAAAAAATAGAATTCCACTTATCATTTCAATTTCTTCTTTTATAGCATCATTTTAGCCTTTTTTTATGATTTTGTTCAGAAATAAATAGTTTTCTCTTTCTAGCTCATCCATAAAATCTCTCAATATGTAAAGTATATTAGAAAATACTGAAATTAATAAAGACTTACTAAATTTTTTTGTTATTTCCTCTAGTAATTGTTGCCAATCTCTCTTAATAACTAATTCTTAATTTCTCTTTCTGTGAGTTTTAATAGTCTTTCTGAATATAAAGCATCTGTAAAATTTTCTGAATTTTATATTTTATTATAGTATTATGAATAGTAATTTTAAAATATTCAAGAATTTCTCCAATATTTATAATTTTTTCTCATTTAAACTCAGTAAGTTCACACCATTTGAATATTGTAAAAAAAATTTTATTTTCAGATAGCTGAAGTCAAGAGCTGCATGGAAAAAAAATTTATTTATACTTAATAATTTGATATAATCTTATTTTAAAAGGTAATGATCTGTCTTTAAATCAGATGGTCAGAGACTTTTAACCAAAAAGTA